CAGGAGTGAGGGGCACCGGCAGAGCTGGGGGGGCGAGGGCTGGGCTGGCAGGGGGCTGGGGGTCAGGAGTGAGGGGCACCGGCAGAGCTGGGGGGGCGAGGGCTGGGCTGGCAGGGGGCTGGGGGTCAGGAGTGAGGGGCATCGGCAGAACTGTGGCGTGGGGGGAGTCCAGGACTAGACTCTGCCGGTGCCCCTCACTCCCGACCCGCAGCCCCTGCTCCCCGAGCTCCAGGCTCCCCCCGCCCCACAGAACCTCCGGATCTAAACACACGACCCCTCGTGACGGAGCTCATGGGCCTGGGGGCTGCTGCCGGCCCCTCACCCCTGCCTGCGGCCCGGCCAAACCCACAGTCTTTTCTCTCGCCACGTTGGGCGGTCAGCCCAGCTCCGGGTTCACTAGCCCAGCTCCGGGTTTCTCCAGCCCGGCTCCGGGTTTCTCCAGCCCGGCTCCGGGTTCACTAGCCCAGCTCCGGGTTCACTAGCCCAGCTCCGGGTTTCGCTAGCTGGTCTTCCAGGCTATGCTTAGCCGCTCTGTGGATTTTTCTAGCCATTTTGGCGAGGGGGGATGGGGGGGTTACGGCGTCTCGCAGCGTCTCCGGGCCCCCCCGCGGGAGCTGGGGACAGTTACCCTGCCTGGCTTCCTCCCAGCGCCGCGCCGGGCCCAGAAACACCTGGTTCCTGGAGCCACTCAGTCCCAGCTCCGGCCAGGCTCCACCCCAGACTCAGCATCGCAGGCCGGAGACGGGCGGGAGGGGACGGCTGGGGTGGGACACACACGGAGGGGGGGCTGGGGGGGAGCAGGGACCCGGGAGCCCCAGAGTAGCTTGTGCGGGGGGGGGGGGGAGGGGGGTTATACTGCAGGGCGAGGCCGCCCCCTGGTGGCGGACGGTGGAACTGCAGCCCCTGCTGGGAGGATGGAGACATGCAGCGGGGCTGGTTTAGGGGGTGTGAATGTGTCCCCCTACTGGGGGGTCCCTGCTGCCCCCTCCTGCCGGTGCTGTGGGGGGGGTGTGGGGGGTGCACATGTGGTGTGAGGTGCAGGGGGCATGTGGAAGGGGGACATGTGTGGGGTGCGTGTATGGGGGAGCATGGGGGGGTGGGAGGCGTAGGTGGGTGGGGTGAGGGGGGAATATGGGGGTCTCCGTCCCCCCCCCGGCTGAGCCCCCTAGCCCCCGGAGGCTGCCCCCCGATGGCGGCGTAGGTGACGAGTTCGCCCGCGGGCGCCGGGCGCCGACCCGGCTTCACCCTCAGCTCCGCGTAGCTCAGCTCTGGGGCCTGGGCGAGATGGACAGAGACGGACCC